AGTTCCATATAACTTATTTGCATTAGCAAGATGTCCAATTCTTTTGGTGGGCCATAGGCACCTTATTTGCATAGCCCCCCCCCCAATCATTGTGTGGGAGTCACAAAGACTATGGCTAGAAGAGCAATATTAAGTAATTTACTGCAGTGCATATACCTAACTCTAAAGGTACTAAAAATGTTTTCTTTTAAGGAATCTCAAGTTCTTCAACATTCAAAAGATTTTATCCTTCCTAGTGCCTAAGATATATTTCTCTAATAAAGAGATTTATATAATAATATATAACCTAGTCAAAGTGGTTCATAGCTTTGAGAATTCTTAGCTGTGTTACTGTTGGAAAAAGTAATTTTCTAGAAGAAATCAGAAATTATCCCTAATACTGTATTTTTATATATCCACCCAAGTTCTGATTTTAAATTCCCATTTTTATTCTTAAAAGCTTTTGTGGGAAGAAATATCAAAATTTAAAATAAGTTTTGGAATCAAATTCTTTATAGATTCAGCCAGAGGAAAGATCATTGAGCTTGAGATGCCAGAGAATACTGCATAGGGACCAGTTTTGGGTTCCTCCTTTTAATAGGGATGCAGATGAACTGGAGAAGTTCTTAAGAAAAAAATTAAAAGATTAGGGGGTTGAAAATAGAATACATTAGAAAAAACCTGGTGTTTCTTTTACTGAAAAAGGAAAAAAACAGAAAACCAGTTGTATCAGGTTGACCCCGTGAGTGTTGGAGTAGAGCTGTGCTCCACAGGGTTTTCAATGGCTGTTTTTTGGAAGTAGATTGCTAGGCCTTTCTTCCAAAGTGCCTTTGGGTAGACTTGAACCTCCATCTTTTTGGTTAGCAGCCAAGCACATTAAATTCTTGTGCCTGCTTCTTTATGAGTTACATCATTATGCAAATGTTTATTACCTGCTTACTCTATATACCAGGCATTATGGTAGGGTTTACTCACATGGGGAGGGCAACAGATATTGAAATAAACGGCCATAATCTACTGTGATGGTGCTAAGAGAGGGAAGTTCCAAGTTCTATGGGAGTCTGGAAAATGAGCAGGTGGGCAGCCATCTGGCAAACCTCCCAGAGGAGGTGGAGTTTGACCTGAGACTTGAATGATGATATGCGTTTTCCTGGTGGATAGGGAAGGTCATTTTAGAAAGCATATGCAAAATAAAAACAAGATGTATCTGATAAGTCCCTAGTAGATTATGGTGGAGAGTGGGTAAGGAGGGTGCAGTATAAACAACAAAAGAAATGAAGATGGGTAGGAAATCAGGGGTCCTTACTTATTACTTACTCTTTAGAATTTGTATTTGTCTTAAAGGCAATTGGGAGCCACTGAAGGATATTAATCTAGAGAGAAACATAAATTTATCTGCATAAAAAAAAAAAAAAAAGCCTCTGTGGAGTGTTCTCATAGGAGAAAGCTGATAAATTTTCCACATCCACAAGGGAGAGATTAACAGGGAAAAAACTGAGAAGCAAGGATTATATCATTGGGAGAGTTTATAAAGTAAACAACTTGACCCTGTGGGCTATTAGACAAAGACTGTGAAGGGAATTAGTAGAATCTTCAGGTCTAAAGATATTTTATGAAGGATGATCATCTGCTTTCACGTTTTAAATTACGTTTCTGGTTGAGGCAAGGGGACAGACTTGTGCAGATTTCCTAAATTATGTTCTCTAGAAGAGTTGTTGACAGACATTCCATGAACAGAAAACAAAGTTTCAACGCTTTCCAAAAGTTTGGTTTTGGCAAAATAGATAGTAAATACGCCTATCTATTTAGTGCAGGACTTTTTATAGGTTTTAGTATGCAAATGTGCCTTGTGACCCTTCAAGAGCAGGATCTTGGGTGCAGGGTTTCTAAATTTAATTGATCAAAGGCTCCCTGTTAGTGAGCATTTCCTTCTGTTCACCTGTTCTAAGGAGTGCACTATGATACATTTGATTCTGTTACCAACTCTAAGACTCTTCCCTTAATTCTGAAAATCTTAAAAAGCATTTACAACTTGGAATTAGTTTTCCATAGTGTTTATCAGTTACAAATGAGTAATCTTACAGTTCTCAAACAATTCTGCCAATATTTAATCAAAACTAGGCAATGACTACTTTTTAGAGCTCTTATTTTAAGGATGGGATAAATCAGATAAAATATGAACACATAGGATGTTGGAGTTAAACTCAAATCAAACTGACCCCCAGGGCCAACTTACTAGACAACTTGGGAAACCCCAGTTCTGCGCACTTCAAAGAATTTGAAGAAAATAGGAAGTAAATGAGCTGTTCCTTTTCCTTCCTTCCACCTGCAGATATTTCCTGATACAACTCAGAACTCAGAAGGGGGTTAGAATTCTAATGTGTAGTTCAAATAGAGACGGAATTTTGGAGTAATCTAAAGAATATTATCATCGGGAGTGTGACATTAGGTTGCCGGGAATGAGATTTGATATGTTCACATAACCTCTCAAGAATAGTTGCGATTTCCTAGTGATTTAATCTAATCCTGGAATTGTAAATAGATTTCAGTTTAGATGTTAGTTTCAATTAGCTGCTTAAAGTATTAGATGGAGAAAAGTTGAGACTGAGTCTCAATTTAATGGAACAAATGTGGGCACTGATGTGTGATATCTACCTTGTGTGAAAAGATGGAGTGAAACTTCTCATCTTTATACTTGCCAGCCCCTTCCTAAGTCATACTTGGAGGTATGTTTAGGTCATAAAGGTTGCTGGTGAGCTGGGTTGGGTCAGAAGTAACAATCTGAAGAAATATAGGTTCATATAAAAACGATTTAGAAGACCCTTTCAAGTCACCCAGAGTTAACATAACCTGATAGGTCTGGAAGAAACAAAAGGGTGGTATTAAATTAATTTAGCCTAGAAGTGTGAGCCTTGCAGAAATGCGGTACAACACTGGACCCCATAGAAAGTAGTCCTTAACAAAGAAATATTAAAATTTATTTTAGCACATGAAGTGTAAGTCTTTACATTTAGTATAGTGTCTACATGACAATTTTTGTTGGAGACTCTTTAGTTGATCTTTCTTATGAGTACGTGGTGTTCATGCTAATTTTTATCTGTACTTTGCTGAGCAGGACTGTAAATCCTAAGTGAAACTCTCAATATAAAAAAGGATTTTCTTCCCTGTAGCAACTGGGGCCTGTTACCCAACTGCATCCCCAAAGTCCCTGTAGTGAGTGACACTATCAAAGAGAGGGATACTTCTCTGGGAATCAGGGAGGAAAAATAAGGTTGTATCCTTGTTTCTCACTCATCTCCCGGGGGACTTGTCCTGTGGGAGGAAGAGCTGTTGCCCAACTGGAGTGACTCACCTGGTGAGTCAGGGACGGTTCCAACTGTCCAGCTTGCTGCCTGAATCTGAGCCAATTCTGTTTCTTAGCCAAATGACGTGAAAAACAACTTGAGAAACACATGGTTGAAGAAAGTTATGCCCTTCTGAGATAGTCTATTTGCAGCAGTATCTAGTCTGTGACTAGAATTCTGAACTTGAAATTAGGAGCAGTGAGTAGACACAGAAGTGGAAAGACCTGTGTTCCTTTCAGCCTGACCAGGCACTGCCTGAGAACCTTTAACAAGTCAACCTCTCTGGACCTCAGTTTCATATTTTCAATCGCGAAGAGAAGAGGCTGGAGGTGGAGACAGTGAAGAAAGGGAATTATTATGTAATGAGTTCTAGACATTTTGTCTAAAGAGTTACCTGCATTTCCCGAGACCGTACCCAATGGGTTCACAATAGCAGCAATGAGATGCTGACCCTACAGACTGGGTGAAATAGAGGGAACTGAAGCCCCTCCCAACTCCTCCCAATTGCTGCAGGAAGTCCCCAAGGTCCGTTTCACAAGTGATTTGGGATTTTTGTGGTGTCCCTGGCTTCCTTGTGGTTTCAGATATTCCCAGTGTTCTGTGGCTTTTCAGATAGGCACCTTAATGAAGGTAGTACATCACCCCTCATTTGTGTCATAGTCTGCCTCACGACAGTGCTGCTTTGAGCTGTTTCCCACAAATGCCTGGGTGATGTGACTCCATATGATTATTTACCTAGCACTACTCCCTAGGCATGGACACAAATTCCTATACAGTGGGAACAGTCTCACTGTATTCAAAATCACCTTTTCCTTCAGAAGACCTGTGCTTGTCATTAAACCATGTGTATAAGCCAGCGTGTATCATTTTTCGTAGGTTAAGTTCCTCAAACCAGTGGCCTTCAAACACTTTTCTCTCAAAAGCTTTAAAAGACTTTTACAAAGCTTTGTATCCCTTGGTACATTTTCAAGTCAACATCTGAACATGTTGTACAAAGGATCTATTTTATATCGTCTTGGTGCTTTAAATACCTTTTCCCCAAAATCTTGGAGTTGCAGGCTTGCCTCATTCAGTGCAGGCGTTGTTCGTAAAGTGAGTGAGAGAAATATCTGGCCAAATCACACTTGGTCTTTATGCCAGGAAAAGACTGACGTTACTTTTTAGTGCAAGTAAACGTGGCTAAACAAATGTCTGTGCAACCTCACTTCTGAATTAGAGAGAGAGGTGGATCCTACTCCCAAAATCTCAAGAAATCTCCCTCTGCTTGGTGGCCTGGAGGTGTTTACCCCTGGAGCAAGCACACAGAATGTATAGGGCCCAGTGGTTCTTTGCCTTCCCTTTCTTTTGTAGTGTTTGCAGGGCCACTGGAAAAGAGGATGTGGGAAAGGAAACCACAGGTCAGGGCAGTGTGGCTTTCTCTTCAGGGGAGCCATGTTACCAGAAGACAGGAGGAAGCAGAGGATTTGAACATTGATTCTGTTAACATTACTCATGCCTGTGAACCCCTTGAAAGTCTTCATATACCCCAGGGTTATGGTACCCCAGTTTGAAGACTTCTGCCTTAGATACCCCTCATTCATCCAAATTGAGTCTGGACATGCCAAGGCAGGTCTGATAGTTGTCCTTAGCTTAGGCCTACGAATTTGTTGAACATACACAATGTACCAGGAAACTTACCTACATCTTCCTGAAGACTTTGTTACAGATAATTAACTGTGTCATCCAAAACCGTGTAGCAGAGGTCTCAGGAGCTGGACTGGAGTTCTCTTATTGCCTAAACCAGCATTTTTTTCCTCCCACCACAGGCCTCCTTAGTTACACAAGACACGCTCAGCTGAGCGTGTGAATTAAGAGGAGGACTTCAAAGGAAACCTCAGCCCTTGTATACTGTTTCTTCCTTGTGGTTTCCAACTTAAGGAGGGAAGTACCACCTTTTCTAGAGTCATAGCTGTGCACCAGTAGGGCTTCAGTTAACTTTAGGAGGCGTTTTGACTGACTTAGTGAGAGCTGTGTAATACAGTGAAACCTGTGAGAGCCAGAACTCAGTGGGACTGCCTTGTTTTTCTGGGTCTCAAAAGTTTTCTGCCTCTGACAGGGTGCATTCTTACCACTTTTCTATCACTGCTTTTAGTGAAAAATGTCTGAATTTTCCTTCTCTGACAGGTTTCCACCTTACACAGGTTCTGACTTTCGCATGTTTTACTGTATTATATTACTTAGATGTTGTAATTCATAAAACATTGTCTTGGTCATTCATAAGACAATTTCCTAGTGTTTCTGAAATTTACTAAATAGAACAAAAGATTCATTTTATTGGATAGCCTTTATTTAAAAAAAAAAAAAAAGATAAATTGTCTTCAAATTGTTGTGTGCTGTCAAGTCGATTCTGAGTCATAGTGACCCTATATGACAGTGTAGAACTGCCCTATAGGGTTTCTTATGCTGTTATCTTTAAGGGAACAGGTCTCCAGGTCTTTGTTGCCATGGAGCCCCTGCTGGGTTGGATCTGCCGGTGGGTTGGAACTGCCAACCTTTCGGTTAGCGGCTGAGCGCTTAACCATTGTGCCAAATTACCCGTAAGTATTTTGAAAAACATTTTCCGTTAAAAATAGCTGACCAAGAATCCAGAAAAACTTTTCATTTTATGTACTTTTCGCTCCCTCTTGCTTTTCTGTTCTCTTGCTCAATGTTAGGCATTTTATTATTATTTTTTTTTTTCTAGGCAATCAGAAAGCACTTTCACTTTGAAATTAAAGACAGTCATTTTTTTTTCCCTCCTTAAAAAACTTACGTTGTCTGGTTTTTGGTAATATTTAGGCTAACTTGACAATTTCTAGTTTGTTTTTTGAAATTAAAAATTATTAGTTTTACTGCCTCTATCCAGTTGGATTAAAAAAAAAAATAGTGCTCTAATTACACTCTAATTTCCCATATTCACCCAGCCACTTTTTAAAAAATTTTTTTACTTTTACCTTTTTATTTCTCCACTTTTTTTTTTAATTGAGATATAATCCACATACCATATTTTTATTTACGGTATAGTGAATTAATGTGGCCCTTTTAGCCATAGTCTTTGTGACTCCCACACAATGATAGGGTGGCACTATGCAAATAAGGTGTATGGAACCTGTGATGGTTAAGGTTATGTGTCAACTTGGCTGGGCCATGGTTTTCAGTGGTTTGGCAGTTATGTAATGATGTATTTTATGAAAATAAAAACTGAAAGGCCCTATTGTTGATGTTGCTATCCTTCAGGAGAAATTTTTTAAACCCACATATTTCCAATATGTTGACTCATGATTTGAGTAATTTGGCTTTAAAAAAAAAGCCAATGGAAAAACAAAACAAAAAGAAATGCAACATATCAAAACTATTTCAAAATACATAATATTTTCTTCTTTCAGGGCATCTGTGCTCCTACCACCCTGAAGTTTCAGACATTATAAACTGAATTCCACAGCCTTGACCTATCAGCAAACCCGGAAGACCCAGGTCCCTGGGTTTAAAAAATTTCTCCTGAAGGAGAGCTACATCAACAGTAGAGCCTTTCAGTTTTAGTTTTCATGTTAAGTTCAACACTGTAAACACGTTCTATTGAAGTGAAAATGTAAACAGCACTTTCTTCCACAGATAAATCCCCTCAGGACAGCCCGACTAGGTGTTAGCTCTTACCTCCCTCTTTAGGGGTGTGTGTTCTGTGAGATACTGCCATCACCAGCTGAGCCACAACAGACAGTGGGCCCATCATGAATGTGTGGCCCCCCAGCTGTAGGGTGCCGTTACACTTATAACTAATTCATTGGTTAAAGATTCAGTTTTCCGTTATAGAATCTGCATTTGCACTAGTTAAGCAAAGAATCCCTTGTGAAACACTAGTTTTAGGGTTTCTTTACTTCTTGTCTGGATTGTTGTCATTATGTCCTCTCTTCTGAGGGACCTTGAACTCTTAATTAGATTGCCAGATAAAATATAGGATGCTTTATTAAATGGAATTCCAGATAAACAACAAACTGTTTTTTTGTTTTGTTTTGTTTTAGTATAAGTATGTCCCAAGGAGCCCTGCTGGCACAGCAGTTAAGTACTCAGCTACTAACCGAGAGGTAGGTAGTTCAAACCCACCCAGTGAGTGGCTCTCCGGGAGGAAGACCTGGAGATCTGCTCCCGTAAAGACGACAGCCTAGAAAACCCTATGGAGCAGTTCTACTCTGTCACATGGGGTCGTTATGAGTTGTACTCGACTCTATGGCACCCAGCAACAACAGCAACAACAAGTATGTTCTGAATATTACCTGGGATGACTGTAATATACCATGGGATGATTGATGATAATCCTTCAATTTTTAAATTCTATTTGCCGTTAGTGCCAACCACTTCCACATCTCGGGATCCAGCCTCATCATGTGGTCAGATCTATCAATGAAACTGAATGTCTCCATTGTGATGTCTTGCAGGTCAAAACTGAACTCATCATCACCCCCACTTGTGTTCTCAATTGCAGTGATGGGTTCACCATGCATCCAGTTTCTGTAACCACCTTTGGCCATTCCCTCTGCTCCCACATCCATTCACTGTGTTTCTGAAACTTCTCCCAAATACTTTTATTTCTCTCTCCCTACTCTAGTCTCAACAACCTGCCAACCTTCCAGCAGATCACAGCACAGCCTCTCTACTGCTGTATCCTTTTATATTTTCTTCCTTCTAATTAGGTGACTTTCAAACTTTGGACGATGACACATGCGTACTTAAGTGAATATACGTGTATGCGGGCTCAAAGTTTGCTGCAACAATACTTACCCTTACAACCCATGAGGCATTCTGATGTTTTCTAGTCTATTTTATTTTAAAAAAAAAAAAAAAAAAGCTGGTGACTCTCTGAATTGATGAGTCATGAACTGCTGTTTGGAAAACACTGCCCATTCTGTTTTACAAAAAGCAACCAGAACAATCTTTGTAAAACCTCAGGCAGATCATGTCACTCCTCTGCTTAGAACCCTTCAGTGATTTTCTTCTCATCAGCCTGAAGATAAAGTCAAGATGCTTACTGCCCTGTTCTCCCTCCTATTAGCATAGCTACTCCTGTCTGGAGACCCTTCTCCCCTTTCCTTAGAGCTAACTTGCCACAGTAAACAGGCTTTTTAGGCCTGAATACCATTTCTTCAGGGAGGCCTTCACTGACCTGTTAGCCTAGGAGAATCTCCTCTCTGGACATTCTTCCATACTCAGTACGTTCATAGAAGAATGAGCCTTTTAAAATATCAGTCATTCCTCAGCTCAAAATCCTTTAAAAGCTGTCTGTTCATTTCAATAAGACTACAGTGACATGGTCCTACGTGACCTTCCTTTCTACCTCATGGACTTCATCTCCTACTACTCTTTGTCCTTATTCACTCTGCTTCAGGCACACTGGCCTCCCTGTTATTCATTCAGGATGGCTGTATAGACTCCTACCTCAGGGCCTTTGCACTTTCTATATACCCTTTGCCTGGAACACTGCCCCTCCCCCCCCCAGATATTTACAAGGCTCTCTCATTTCTACCAGTTTACTCAAATGTCACCTTATCCATGAGGCCTTTCTGCTCATCCTATTTAAAATTGCATACCCACTCTGGCACTCTCTATTTTCTTTCAGATTTATATTTATTTCTTTATTTTACATTTTTTAAAATTTTGCTTATTATCTGTCTCCCTCCACTAGGATATAAGCTTTATGATGGTAGGAATTTTTCTCTGTTTTATTCACTGCTAAATCCCCAACACCTAGAATAGCACTTGGTTTGTATTAGCCCCCGAAAAAACCAAACCCGTTGCCATCGAGACGATTCCGAATCATAGAGGCCCTATAGGACAGTCGGACTGCCCCACAGGGTTTCCATGGTAGATCTGAACTACTTACCTTTTGGTTAGCAGCCACAGCTCTTAACCATTGTACCACCAGGGCTCTGTACCATAGTGGCTGGCAAATAGTAGGGTCTCAGAAAAACCATTTTTTGAACTAAATTGATTTAGATTGGAAGTATAGGGTCACCATGAGCCAGAATGGGCTTGACTGCAATTAACAACAGTGACAATGGAGAGAGAATAGTGTGTTTAGCTTTAAAAATCGTTACGTTCATATTCATTGTGTTTGTAAACCTGAGGTTACTACTTTGTTCATAATCCCTCTTAAAATGGAAACCTATTAGTACAATGTATTCACTTGTTTAATGGAACAAATGTTAGGCTTATACTGTTTGCAAATACTCAAAATCGAAGGGACAGATTATGTGTGGGAGCACTGTCGAAAAAGAGTTTTGCTGATTTCAAAGTAGTGGCACCTGTCTGGTACCCCTTCTGCTATAACCATAATCAAATGGTAGTTTGATGCACAGTTCCTTATTGAAAACCTTTGGGACCAGCTGTGTTTCAGAATTCAGATCTTTGTTTCCATCAGACTTTAGAATGTAGATTGTGCACAGACTGGGTATTCATTACACACTCAGCGGAGTTTGGGGCATACCCCATAAACCAGACAGGTTAATATTTCTGCAAGGAAAAGTAAAAATATTCACACTGGGTGGGATACAGACAAAAAATAGCCCACATCTTTTTTGTTCATGTTTTTCCACAAAAATAAGTTTTGATGCCAAAAGTAGGAAAAAATGATTTTCAGAGATTTTGAGTTGTTTTTCTGGTTTGGGGTGTTATTGTTGTTGCTTGGGGTGGGGTGGGGGTAAAGTCCTTTGCCTCATGACCCAGAGGGCTGTTGGCTTTAGGAAACCTTCTTGGACAGAATCCCAGGGACAGGACAAATGATGTGTGATTCTGATTGAATGACAACTCAATGCCACAAACCAATTGTTTAACTTTTAATTGTAGCATCTGTAGTAAACAGAGAATATATTGAAGTTGGCAAGGATTTCATTTT